TTAAGCAGGAAAGAGGAATATTTGCTGTTTTGCCCAGTGATACTGTTTTTGTTGGTGCTTAGATGAAGTTATGAAGTGGTCTTATTTTGCATCATGGTCTCAGAATGATCTTGTCTCATATTAGTAAGATTACTTATGTCCCCCAGGAGAATAACATGGCCTGGCAACTATAAATATTAAAGCAGTTTCTAGATACCAGGTTTGTTGTTTTTTTTCTGTGTGTGTGTGTGTGTGTGTGTGTGTGTGTGTGTGTTTACTTCTCATCATTGTATCTAATACATGGTTACTTTCCGATGTCAAGTAAATAAAGAGTTTATACTGTGTTCTGAAGAACACTTTTTTTTCATAGTCAGGTAGAGCAGAAAGAGGATGGCTGTGGAGGGTGAGAAGTCATACAGTCTGTTGTCTGCCAGCTGGAGAACCAGGAAAGCCAATGGCTCAATTCAGCCTGAGTCCAAAGGCCCAAGAACCAGGAGAGCCTCTGATAGAAGTCCCAGAGCCTGAAAGCCTGTGGACCAGGTGCTCTGATGTACAAGTGCAATAAAATATGGATGCCCCAGCTCAAGAAGAGGGAGAATTTCTGAGAAACTTTTACTTTTTAAAAATAATATTTTTATTGATTTAAAAGGGGGGGGGAGAGAGAGAGAAACACGAATGATCAGAGAGAATCATTGATTGGTTACTTCCTGCATTCACCCTATTGGGGATTAAGCCTGCAACCTGGGCATATGCCTGACGAGGAATTGAACCATGACCTCTTGGTTCATAGATTGACACTTAACCACTGAGCCACATTGACCAGGCCCAAGAAAGATATAGATTGTGTGTTTTACAATCAGTTTTGTCTTTGAATATTTTAAATACTGTAATAATACTTCTGGGTGAATTTGGAGAGCATAGTTTGTTTTAAAAGTACTTCATAAAATACTGTCCAGCAGTATTTTCCAAAATACAAGGAGGGGCAAAAGTGAATTTACAGTTGTTTATATAGAAAATAATATAATAATTAATAAATAAAAATACAAGAACAAACTGTTTTGCATACTCACAACTTTTGCCCCATCCCATATTTTCTTCAAAATACTATAATGCCATATATATGTGTATATGTGTATATGTGTGTGTCCAATATAATAAAGAGGTAGTATGCAAATTGACCATCACATGTCACAAGAGGGCAGCACCCACAGGAGGGGGCAGAGGCGGGGCCAGTTGCTCCATAGGCCTGCTGCCGGAATCCCCTCAGCCCCGCCAGGGGCCTCAGGTCTTCCTGCACCCCTCACTGACTGAGGCTCCAGCAAGCAAGACTGGCCGAGGCACAGGCAAGCCTTGGATGGTGGCTGCCCAGCTGCCCACGGCCAGCCCGAGGTGCAGGCAAGACTCAGATGGCGGCTGCCCAGTTGCCCAGGGCCAGCCCAAGGCTCAGGTAACCAGGGCTGGCCGAGGCTTGCATTGCTGGCAGTGGCAGCTGCAGAGGTGTGATGTGGGCTTCACCTTCCCCTGATCCGCCTGGTCCCCTCCCACCCCTAAGGGCTCCCGTACTGTGAGAGGGGGCAGGCCAGGCTGAGGGACCTCCCATTCCAGTGTATGAATTTTCATGCATCGGGCCTCTAGTGTGTGTGTGTGTGTGTGTGTGTGTGTGTGTGTGTGTAAATCCATAATCATATAGTTCCTTTATGTGTTCCTAAAAAGGGAGCAGGGATGTGCTCAGTGGTTACATAGGTTTTGAAAATGCATCATGATGTACATTAAGCTCTGAGAAAGCCTGTGATTTAAAAGATTAAAAATTCTTTCAACTTCTTTTAACCAAATTTTTTCTAAGCTCCTCTAACCCCCACTTACTAGTACCCCATTTTGAGAAATACTGCTATATAGAGTTGATTTTTAGAACAAAACATTTTCATCAGATTGCTTTTGCATATTATTAAAGAGGTAACTGACATTTCTGTCCATCCAGTTGTCACTAGAACCTTTTCAAAGGGTCGGCTACATTGTCAGTGTAGTCAGACCGTGGTCTCTAGCAGCCTTTTATTGCCCACTAAGTGTTAGCACTTGATTCATCTCACAGTTCGTACACCAGTCTAGTTGCTGGACTTCTGAGATGTATCTGAACAACAGAAATCCTGATATATAGTTTGTCATCTTAGCACTATAACTCTCTACACTTATTTTTTAAACAATTTTCTTATTAATGTAAATATATTGATAAAGTGTCAGTCTTGCTGGATCTTCTTGTATTGTGCTCCCGAATTTATTCTAGCCTGTTTGTAGTAAATTTCTGAGGGAGCCCTAGAGCTGGAGTAAAATCGTCCCTTCCCTATCTTTAGCCAGGGAAAGAAGGGAATTAGGTGTTTCTTGGAAATGGAGATGAACCCTGCCATTCTCAAGCAGGCAACTTCACTCCTGAGCAATGGAAGCTGTAAAATATTATCCAGACATGTTCTTGGATGTATTCAATAAACATTTACTAAATGCCTGCTTTGTACCAGAAGCAACCAATCCTTGTTGCCCTCAGAGTGTTGTATCTAATTGTTGAGACAGCAGTTGTGTAAATGATAAATATTAAAACTGCAGTGTGCTTGGTGTTATAATAAGTAGATTTAGGAGGCTCTGGGGACACAACTTAGATTCTGAGCTTCGGTGAAGGAGCTAGAAAAGTCTGAATGTAGAGGATAAGGAGCATTTGGTCATGCAGGTCAGGGTTAAAGGACATCACTGATAGGACAGCTTGTGTAAAAGGCATGGGGTTGTGAAAAGTGAAGTATTTGGAGATGCAAGTAGATTTGTTCTTGATAGGGTATTTATGGTGATAGGGTGGAGGAAGAGTCCGGAAAAGGAAGGAAGGAAGGAAGGAAGGAAGGAAGGAAGGAAGGAAGGAGCTCATGGCCATAATTGCTATGTTAGGCAGAGAATTTGAAAGACTGTCCATCAATAGATGGTTCTTAATATGTGCTAGCACTTTTCATATAATAAATAAGTTAATGAAAATTAATATTGAGTAAAGTGTGCTAAATTACTTAAATTTAATGTGTATTGCTTCATGTTTTAATACCTTTTTGATGATTTGTAGGACTTACCACTTAATAAGTTACCCTCCTATAAGTACATTAGCTCTATTCTTTAAAATAAGTTTTATTGAGATAGTTTATTTACATCAGTTTTATATACAGAATTCAGTGAATTTTGACAATCTATATAGTCACATAACCAGTACTCCTCTAAACATGATATAGTTATTTTCATCACCCTGCATTCACTTTTAATTAGTTTGGTAAACTAAATAAATTAACTCTTTGAACCCTGGAAGAGGTACTATTTGAAGAACAGAGAAGTAAAAAAACTGTCAACTTTTAAACCAGCCTCCCCCCTCCCCCAATTTTTTCTATGAAACACACAGAAAAAATTTCATTTTTCTATGAAATACAAAGAGAAGCTTTCTTGCCCTGGCCAGTGTGCTTAGTGGTTAGAGCTTTTGCTCATGCACCAAAGGGTTGTGGGTTTGATCCTGATCCCCGGTCTCGGTCAGTATGAGTGTGGAAGGCAACCAGTTGATGTGTCTCTCTCGTGTGGATCTCTCTCTCTCTCTCTCTCTCTCTCTCTCTCTCTCTCTCTCTCTCTCTCTCTCTCTCTCCCTCCCCCTCCCCCTCCCCCCGCCCCCCAAACTTTCTTCCCTTTCTTCCATTCTCGTTAAAAATTAATGGGGGGCCAAAACCGGTTTGGCTCAGTGGATAGAGCGTCGACCTTCAGACTGAAAGTCCCAGGTTTGATTCCGGTCAGGGGCATGTACCTTGGTTGCGGGCACATCCCCAGTGGGAGGTGTACAGGAGGCAGCTGGTTGATGTTTCTCTCTCATCGATGTTTCTAACTCTCTATCCCTCTTCCTTCCTCTCTGTAAAAAATCAATAAAATATATTTTTTTTAATTAAGGGGGGGGGAATCCTTGGGCGAGGACTAACAAAGAAAACAAAAACAAAAACAGAGAGAGAGAAGCTCTCTGTACAGTGCTTCTTTGGGGGCTTTTGTCTCTTGAAATCTTCAGAAGGAAAAGGAGGAAGTACGAAGTTGGGGCCCTGGCTGGGGTGTCTTAGTTGGTTAGAGCATAGCCTGTGCACTGAAGGGGGAACAGGTTTAACTCCTCATCAGGGCACTTACCCAGGGTGCAGGTTCATTCTCCAGTTGGGGCACATAGGGGAGGTAACCAATTAATATTTCTCTCACATCAATGTTTCTCCCCCCCCTCCCACTTCCCCTTTCTCTCTCCCTCTCCCTTTAGAATCAATGAAAAACATATCCTCGAGTGAGAATTAAGAACAAAGAAATTCTTGAAAAGAAAAAAGGGAGTTGTCTGCATAATGACTGGTGTAAAGCTATATAAAGATGTTTGGGGGAAGAAACAACCACAAGAAAACAAAACCAAAATTATACTGAACTGGAAACGTCAGACTTGAGGTCTAGCAAATAGCTCTGATACTTCATAGCAGAGAGTTGTAGCAGTAGTTTCATTTGTCTGAGGACTTGGTTTTCTCACTCATGGTGAATGGAATGGCATATTTCAAGCTGTATTATACTGAACTATGGAGTTTTGTGAGGTGTGGATAGGAGTAATAGGTTGGGGACAGGAGAATAAGGAATAAGGGCTAAATTTTAATCTGGGGAATAGTTGGACTTAGGTTTGATGCTGGCAAATAGAGGAGACAATATATTCCTTCCTCCCCACCCCCAATTGTACTTCTATATATTAAGTTTACCTTTTATTGACTTGTTAGAGCAGTAGAGGTTAGGACACTTTTCTAAACATAATTCTACCTGTATTTGTGATTTGTTATGGGTAGGGACAAGTTTCTCCAGGAGAATGAATATTGTCATTAAACCATCGGGTTTATTTCCTTTCCTAGGAGTTATTACATATAAGAATAAAATATATATTTACATATAAGAGTTATGAAGATTCATATTTTTAAACAATTATTTTATTCATTTTATTTGTTTGTTTTAACCAGTTACCCATGGGTGTATTGTTTCTACAATAAAACTTTTTCTACCAGATGGTATGGAAGCTCGACTCCGCTCAGAGTGAGTATAATTCAGTGCTATAGAATTTTGTATTAATTACCTTGGTTAATAATATTATAGATGAGGGTGTACCATTAATACTTTAGATTATTCTAATGATGTTAGAAAAATCATGTATTACTTTTGGAATAATGCACTTCACTTTGTTTTTAATATTAGTTGTAATTCTAATAGGCAATAATGGAAGCAAAGTTTACATTTGTGCTTCCAAATTTAATTATAACAGTTTATATTTTGATAAGTAATTAATTGTTTCTAAAATATTTAGGATATGTAAGGTATTGGTGATAGCTGCATTCATTTTGACTTGCATTTAAGGTAGGGCTTCCTAGACTTTGATTGCCTCTGAGGTTAATGCCAATGTCACAATCTTATAGAACCTTAAGGATGTTGATATATAATAGTTAGTAGTACATTTTGGTGGGTTTTTTTGGAGAAATTTTTCAGTGCTGTAATTCTTTTCTAAAATTGATATCAGAGAAGAAGGGAGAGGGAAGGTGAGATAGAAACACTAATGATGAGAGAGAATCAACTGCCTTCTGTATGCCCCACACTGGGGATCGGTCCCGCAACTTGAGCATGCTGTCTAACAATGAATTGAATCTTGACCTCCTGTTCATAGGTTGATGCTCTACCACTGAGCCACGCCAGCTAAACTTTTTTAGAGATCATTTGGAGAAGGAAAAATCTAAAAGAAAATAAATTAGTCAAAATATAAATGTTAATATGTAAACATAAGTACATTTTGATTTATACTTTTTGCAGATTATCATTATGAGGTGTTGGAAAAAGCTAAACAGTCTAAAATTCAGCATATTTTATTTTGGGGGGAAACCTTGAATATGCTAGAAATTTGTTTCTATATTTAATTTATTTCCTGCTTTTCAAAAGCAAAGAAAAAGATCTGAGGGTGAGAGGTTGAGAGAACCAAAGTGTAAGGCCAAGTACAGAGTAGTCAGTAGGAAAGCGAAATGGAAAAGGAAAGCAGAATGCATAACCCATGGACACAGACAATAAGGTGGTGGAGGCCTGGGGTGAGGGGCAGGGGTAGGTTATAAGGGGTGAGAGGGAGAAAAAAGGGATATGTGTAATACTTTCAACAATAAAGATTTTTTTAAAAGAAAGAGGGTATGCCAATCTTAGAAAAAGAAAAAGAAAGCAGAGAGAAATTTTCCTATTGCTATTCTGTTCATTCATTAGAATGATATATTGCTCTTCAGTTAGAAGCTACCATTTTATTTTTTTTTTAAAGCTTCAAGGATATCTGAAACAAAGCAGAAATTTTAAAACATTATAAATTTAGCACTGGTCAGTGTGGCTTAGTTGATTAGAGCAATGTACTGGTACCAAAAGGTGGCGGGTTCATCAGGTCACATGCCCAGATTGCAGGAGGTGCCAGTCAATGATGTTTCTCTCTCTTATCACTGTTTCTCTCTTCCTTCCTCTCTCCCTCCCTCCCTTCCTCTTTTCCTTCTTCTCTCCTTCCCTCTCCTCCCTCTTCCCCTTCTTCAATTAAAAAAAAAAATTTAAATAAGAATTTTAAAAAGGCATTATAACTTTAATAATAAAATTAAAGACATTATAACTTTAAAACATTAATGTTTTCTATAGTTTAATTATTAAAAATAAAATTAACTTTGGGAACTTGATTGTGACTCCACTTTTATGAGTTAAGATTTAAAAAAGAAGAGTAGCTGTTAATCAACTAACGAAGTACGGCTTCTTAAAGATCTGAATGTTTGTATTTGATATTGGGATTTTCCCTTCCTTTAGTCAAAAACTTTGAGCAATTACATAAAGGGTCATCTGTGTTCCAGGTTTCACCCAGTAGGACATGTGAATTTTTTCAAAATCTATTTCAGAAAATTGTGTCCCTATCCCTCTTGTTTCCCCAAATCTTTTCATCTTTGCCCCATTTCCTTCTCATTGTTTGATTTTACTTAGTGTTTAAATATAATATTAGCATCACTTAAAATTTACTGTCAGTTTCATTGTACACAATCCGACTTACTTTATGGATGAGATGAATTTTGAACAGGCAAGTCTTGAGCTGGATTAAGATCAGAATGGTTCATTTCAAGGCCTATTCTGTGACTTGATCAGGCCTTCCTTTTCTCATTTGAAAATGAACATAGCCTTGGCCGTTGTAACTGAGGGATAGGGCTGTTGTTGCTCAGTTGGTTGGAGTGTGGTCCAGTACACCAAAAGATGGGTTCGATTCCGGGTCAAGGCACATACCCAGATTGGGGATTCAGTCTCCAGTTGGGGCTCTTGTGTGCGGGAGGCAATTGATCAATGGTTTTCTCTCACATTGATATTTCTCTCTCCCTTCCTCTAAGATTAATTAGAGAGAGGAAAAAAATGGAAATAATAGTACCTATTTAGTAGGAATTTTATGAGGAGGATTAAGCAAGATTGTGTACTTAAAAGAGAGTAATACCTGGTATATAATAGGCACATGATACTTCTTTTATTGTAATTTAATACTTTTTAACAATCAAGATGCTTTTAAGTATGCAAAAATAGTTAGAGTTAAAGAGACATTGTATACATAACATTGAATGCTTTTAAAGTCTTCAGTAGTTCTGAAAAAGTTGATTCTTCCTTGATTTTTATTATATTGTACAAATAATTTTTATTTATTTGAATGAGGGAGGGAAGGAGTGAGGGAGGGAGAAAAAGAAAGAAAGAAAGAAAGAAAGAAAGGAAGGGAGGGAGGGAGGGAGGGAGGGAGGGAGGGAGGAAAGGAAAGAAATTTGTTGTTCCACTTATTTATACATTCATTGATTCTTGTATGTGACCAGATATCAAACCTTAAAACTTGGGGTATCTTGTGAAGATTCTCTAACCAACTGAGCTACCTGGACAGAGCTTTACAAATAATTTTTAAATGATAAGAAACAAATCCCACCACCCTAACACTAAATAACAATTTTCCTTTTCTACCTTTCTTGTTGCATATGAACTTTTTCCATAATTCAAATAGAATACATCCATATCCAAGATAGTTTTGGTAAAGTACAAATATATAAAACTTATAAAATGTTTTGATATTTAGCTTTTTGTTTGTTAAGATTTTCATGAGAACAGAAAAATTTATACTTGAGTCACTAAGAATACTGGAGTTGTACATAATTTTTAAAAAATCTTTGCAAATACATGATTTAAAAAATTTTTTTTATTGTTTGAAGCATTACAAATAGTAGTACATATGTCTCCTTTGTCCCTCCCCTTTGACCTCCCCCTAGCCTCCCCTACTCCCTGTACATAATTTTTTAAAATCTTCATTAGGTACCGTTTTGTTAGGGCCTTGTGATAGGTTATAGGGATAGAGATGTGAATTGTTCACAGTGCTGGAGAACACAGATGGGAAATCACACAAGGAGAGTAAAGAATTATAAGGTCTCAGTGAGGCTGTACAAGATATTTGTCAAAGGTACTCAGAAGGGAGGGAGGTGCTAGTACTTAATGTTCCTTTTGATTTAGCACTTTAGTATATTCATGATTAATTGAATTAAAACAGTTTTTAGGATGTTTGCACTTACTACAGTGGGATCAGAATTGTCATTTCTATTTTTAACTGGGGCTTACACATGGTTAACCAATTGAATTTGGGGTTTTACCCAGTCAGCCTTCAAGCTGACTCTCACCAGAGTGACCTCTAGGATATGGTGCCCTTAGCAACTGGTAGGGAATATGGATGGCATCTTTGCTCCCTCTGCTCATGCCCAGCCCACATCCATCGTCTTACAGGACATTGGAAGATAGGAGCCCTGGCTCACTTACACTGCAGTGTTCTGATGGGAGTGGTGGTAGTGACCCAGTGCTACTGTGCCCTTGGTACTGTTTTAAACTCTTTATTTATACTAGCACATTCAGTACTCACAGTAACACAGGGGTTGGTTTTATGATTATTCCCTTTGTATGGATAAGAAAGCTGAAACCCAAGATTACACAGCTGGTACATAGAACTGATCAGTCAGTATAACTTCTGAGCCTGCATGCCTGTTATACTTCACTGCCTCTCTGTCAGTAGTAACTTTTTAAGGCCAAAAGACAATTAGTACCAGTACTATTTGTTTACTGTGTATCTTTAAGAGGATATACTGAATTTAGTTTTATACCTACGTCTAAGCTTTCAGTTGTTAGTCGTGTGAGGAGGCTGGGTGGAGAAGGTTAGTCCTACTCTTTTGATTAGCTAAAGTTGTTCTCTACTCAAACAGACTTCCAAAGTATAGTTTTCTTTTCAATAGGACTATGTTTTTTAAGACATTCTATCTAGGAATATTTAATTTTAAAATAACTTAATTTACATATTCCAAAATTGAAAATGAATAATTTGAGTGCTTCTTTTTTCATATAGAAATTCTTATGACCAAGGAATTCACCATAGCTCTTATTAAGTAGAGGATTCTTAAAGAGCATTTAATATATTTTGGATTTTAAATTTGTGTTTAGAAATATATTTTGTATGAAAGGTTTGTATATTTATTATCTTATTTTCTATGAAGGATTAACAATAATTCACATTTTTATAATCATATGAAGGCAATTATATATCAACTTAGGGCTTTAAGATATTCTGGTACTGTCATATTCTGTTTCCTTTGTGGTCCGGAAATTAGATAAAAATTCTAAATTTTACTTTTCAGTGTCATCCATGCTCCATTACCAAGTCCTGTTGACAAAGTAAGTTGCCAATGATTGTGTTTTTTTCCAAATCAACTCAGCTCTATTGCTTTGAAAAATGTTTCTGTTTGTTTTTAATATGCTTTACTTAGAAACTTATTTCTCTTTCATAACAAAAACCTATAGAATGCATACAGATATATGGTTGCTGTAGTCTCCTGATCTTCAGTATCTGGAGAATTTAGAATGAATGTTTCTTAGAAAAAGCCTTTGTTATCTCAAGTAGATGGCTATGTAGATTAGGAGTACTTGTTTTGTGTCAAGACAAAAGTAAGAAGTGTTTGTTACTACTCTTTATTTTGGAATACAATTCTGTCTCGAAGTATTTATTAAAGCTTTCTGCACAGAAATTTCACTCTACTTATATTTACACATGGAAATAACACAGAAATATGGGCTTATAGATATGGCTCTTTTATTGTCCTTGAAGATTGATCAGTTTTAGCCTGATTTGGTCAGAAACTGCAAAATTACTTGTTAGAAATGTTTTTTTCTTTTGTTCAGAAATAATGGTGCGTTAAACTGTCTATATCATTGCTAAATAGTGAAGGAAAAAACCCCAAGCATCTTTTGTATCTTTTGACATTAATGTAGATGTGAGTTTTCTTAGTGCAATAACTAAATTATTGAGGAAAATATTTCACATTTTTTTCTTCCAAATGGATAAAGAATGAAAGCCTGTTTGAAACAAAAGTGCTCTGTTAGATTCCTTTTTTAGAAGTAAAAGTGGTTAGTCACCAACTTCAGGAATACCAAGAATTACTTCAGAAGTAAATGATGGCCTTGCTGATTTAGGACTAATTTTAAAAAATAATGCCGCCACTCTGTCTTCTCATTAGCATATTAATAAATATGAGTCGAATCAAGAATGATTCTATTAATGATCATTAATAACTTGGTAATAATGTGATCATGAATAAGTTAAGATATATGGCTTGGTAGTGTTGAGAGTGTGGGTAAATGTTTCAGCAACCTATTAGTGCCTGTCTTTTGTTTGTTGTTGTTTGGAATAATGCCATGGTTTTGTATTCCACACCTGGAAGAAACACATTATGGCAGCTTTTCTTATACTCTTGAGTTCTAAGCATTTGACTGTTACTTGTAATGTTTAAACACCATAATTTCCCATCTTTTTCTTCTTAAAACCTAACTGTAGTTTAAGGGAAGGAGGGAGAGGGGAGAGAAAACTATTTTCTTTGGCTCTGGCCTTTGGATATAGTGTTACTTTTCATGTCCTTCTCCCTGAACCCCCCATACAATACCATTTTGAAGATGGCTACTTCTAAATGAATTGTTGACATATTAAAGAACTATTTAAATATAAATTTGAAAGGGGAGGGAAATGTAGATAGATCTATTGATTTAGGTGGTATTATTTCTGGATTAAGAAAAGGCTCTGTAGCTATAAGTTTGTGATTTGGTTTATAAGGAATATTTTCGTGAGAAGGACTTGTTCTATCGCCTTTCTTATAAATCTCAAACTGGTCAGCATGATAAATACTATTTATAAATTTAAGACATAGGGTAGAAATATTTTGAAAACGAAAGGAGCTGGTTAATTTGAAAAATACTTTATTTTGCATTATTTCAGTGAATGGGCATTTTTAGGATTTGGTTTGGCTTTAAAGTATTTCATAAATACTTTGTGTGACTGTTTATACTATCATTTTGTTTCTAGGTTGCTGCTAACACTCCAAGTATGTACTCTCAGGAACTATTCCAGCTTTCTCAGTATCTACAGGTAAAAATAAATCTTAAGAATTTTTAGTCTTTAAAAATAAAATTAAACAACTTAAGTTTGATTTTGTTAGTTCACAAATATAGGCTAAAGAAATATTAGGTTAGATATATATTTACTAAATAAATACCTTTTTATAGTAAAAAAGGATTACAAATAGGTCTTAAGAAGAAAGAATAAAAAATAGGATTGTTAAGTCTAGAGAAGATAAAGTTCTGTTTGCAAGAGAAGTTTTTTTCTGCAATATGAGGATGTGTCAGGAAAAGATCTTTACCTATAGATGATTTTTAAGTAAAAGTAAACCTGAAGAGATGGTTGCTTAATATATTAATAGCAAATAATTATATAGTTCTTAACATGCCACACTCTAGCACTTCACCTAATTCATTTAATCCTCACAGCAATCCTATAAGGTACTGTATGTATTTTATTCCCATTTTTATAGACGGAGTAACTGAGGGACAGGAAAGTTAAATACATTACACACCTAGTATGTGTTAGAGTTGGAATTTGAACCCACATAGTCAAATCTCAGAGTCTCTACTCTTAAGGACTGTGCTGTGCTGCTGGCTCTAAAAGTTTCTTCATGGGGCAGATACTTGCAATGGAAGTTAATACCATACTAAAAGAGACAGACAATTCTCTAAAAAGGAAACAAATACTAGTTTCTTTCTGGTTTTGGTAGATTTGGGCTGGATTATGATTCTTATTATTCTGGTGAGGGAGCATGGTTAAGGAAAACCCTGGATCCAGAATTTAGAGATTGAGGTTTTTATCTTGGCTCAGCTACCCAGAGAGTTCTGTGACCTTGGGTGAGTCATTATACAGTGTAATTCTTCAGTTGCCTTTTGTTTAAAGCAATAAGATTAAACCAGTGATCATGGGTCCCTACATTGTTTTATAGGAATCAATTAGAACAGTTCTACCTCAGTTAAGAATGTACACATCTTTGAAAATAAAATTATCAATGTATTAATCAGATCTTATCTTCCCCTGGGGATAATGTAATGGTGGATAGAAAAGCAGCCTTACACACTTGCAGTTTAGTCGAATATTTAAGAGCATAGACCCTAACCAGAATTCCCTGGACTTGATCTGTGGCTTTACCTCCTGACCTGTTGTAGGTACTAACCCTTTTGTGCACCATTTTCCTCATCTGTGATATAGATATAGTAATAGCACTTACCTCATAGGATTGTGAAGAATAAATGAATTAATATATCTAAAGCACTTAAAACAGTGCCTGGCACATGAAATAAATGTTAGTAGTTGTTTACAATACAGTAAGTATTATGTTAGTATTCCATAAATGTTAGTAGTTATTTACAATACAGTAAGAAGGCACAATAATTGACCTAGATCACTCATATAGAGAGATGGAAGTAAACTTTGGGATTAATTTAGTCCAAATGTCATTTTTGATATAAGAAATTGGGCTCGTATAGGTAAAATGACTTCCCAAGGCTATTCACTATTGTTACTAGTCATCATGGATGATGAATCCAATCACTCGAGTATTCTATTTCTTACCAGTTTTTTAAATACTCCTAGTAGGAGTAATGGTCTTTTATTAATTCTCTGAGAATTAAATACTGCACTGTCTTTTCTGTATACGGTACATCTTTTTGAGTTGGTAAAGTTCTAATGTAAGTTGTAAATCTTTTGAATGAAAACTAGGATAGATGCAATTCATCCCTTAGAACTAAAAGCCCATTCCTGAAAGTATTAGAATGCTGCTAGGATGTGCTTCATGGAGTTATGAAGTTTTAAGTCGGGCTGAGTAAAAAAAAAGTGTAATTACATCATCTAGTGGAAGTAGTGATTGTTTGGTGGTTTGTTTTTAAGTAAAATTTGCAGCTTGAGTGTACTAGTAATTTCCTGAATATTAGGAATGTTTTAGAAGTTTAAAATAAACTTGGCAACTAGTCTCTTGTAAGTGTTAGCTGTGTTTTAATGTGGGCAGGATGGCTTTTATTAGGTTCTTTAATCTATACTCTTAGAGTCATATTAAAAACCGGTACCTCTTAACTCCAATCAGACCAGATTTTTCCTAACCATTATTTATCAAGGATGTGGAGAGCAATAAGTGCATGCTTTAAACCTCAGGTACTGTATTTGAAGCATATGCTTCTCTGTTGAGGTGGCTCAGAGGCATTAGGGTGGTAAGTGTTCTTCAGGTAATGACAGAAATAGAAGAAATGAAGTTTAAAGATGTGCCAAAACCACAACTGTGTGAGCATTTTCACCTTGACATCCATGAAGGAGACCCTCTTAATAGCTATCAAATATTAATAAGTGACCTAGAGATAAGGTTTTACTTGCCAATGTCTTTCTCTGTAAAAATGTTTCTTTGCAGCTGCCAAGTAGTTATGTAACTCCTTGACTCCTTAATTACATTCAAATAGTACTTGGATTCTTACTTATTTTTGGCATATTTAATTGCAAAGTTGTATATAGTCACAGAGATAATCAGGATACCTGAAAATGCAATAGGCTTTGGGAATGAAACAATTTCGTGTGTGTGTGTGTGTGTGTTTTAAATAATGCATATATATATTTATATTTATATGTATATGTATATAACATTTTAATCAGGAAAAATTAAAAGATATTTTTATTTTAGCTGTCATACCCATGCAGCTAAGCCATTAAGATATATTTGCTCCCAGCTTGTGTGGCTCAGTTGGATGAGCATAGTCCCATGCACCAAGAATTTGCTGCTCAATTCCCCATCAGAGTACATGCCCAGGTTTCAGGCTTGATTCCCAGAAGGGGGCATGCAGGAGGCAGCCAATTACTGTTTCTCTCTCATTGATGTTTCTAACTCCTTTCCTCTCTCTAAAAATCCATACAAGCATTTTTTTTTTAAAAAAAGCTATTTGACAAGATTGTTTTGACTTAGTTTCAGTAAATTTGATTAGTTATGATATTGACAAGATTGAATTGATTGATTTTAAAAATCAATTTTTGTTGATTTTTAGAGAGAGAAGAATATCAATGGGAGAGGGAAGCATTGTTCAGTTGACTCCTGCATGCCCCCTACTGGGGATCAAGCCATGACCTGGTATTGAACTGGCAATCTTTTGGTGCCCTGGATAACACCCAACCAACTGAGCCACACTGGCCAGAGTAGATTGATTGATATTTATAAAATTTGAGGTTAAAACATTTGTTGGATTATTCTACTGGGTTTTTGTTTTTCTGTGTGTTTTTTAACTCTTGTGAATTATGAGTTAAAACAAAAACAAAAAACAAGGCGACTTGTGTTCTGCTGAAAGGGAAGTTGCTGCTAGAGCACACCTAACGGTAGTACCTGCAGCCAAACAAATGAGGCTAAAATGACGTGACTTGTATACATTTTACAAAGTAGATTTACCAAGTTTGAAAGTAAGATATAAAGTGGAATGTAATATGAGAGTATTTTCAGAATGTGCTGAAAATTTGTTACTCTCTAAGGAATCGAGGTGAGTTTATTAGAATCTCTTGTGCTTTGTGGTATCAGGAGGCCTTACACCGGGAACAGATGTTGGAACAGAAGTTAGCCACGCTCCAGCGGCTACTAGCCATCACCCAAGAGGCTTCCGACACCAGTTGGCAGGTATTTCAGTTGCCTTTATTTACAAGAAGCATTTAAGTTTAATGTCCCTTAGATGTTGATTAAACTAAAACTAAAATTTTGTAGCAAGCAAAAGCAAAGTTTTTTTCTAATGAACAAATAATGAAAACTTAGCATTTTACACTGGATATTGGTCAGTTTTATGATTTTCATTTTGTCCACAAATGTAGCCTTTTTAATAGGTTATTTTTTAAATTGCTCTGGGATTTTATTTGTATTTGATTTTTCTTCATTAGGCTTTAATAGATGAAGATAGACTCTTATCACGGTTAGAAGTTATGGGAAACCAATTACAGGCATGCTCCAAAGTAAGTATTAATCTCAAGTACATAAAGAAAAATGCGTACTTTTATGTAGCTTCAGTTTTTTGTCTTTTTATTGTAGTACATGCTAAAAACAATTATACATTTTCACTGTTCTTTTAAATCCTTTCTAATTATGGGAAATTTCAAACATACATGTATGTAGAAAGAATTGTATAGTGAATACCCATGTACAGCTCTTTATCTTTTTTCACAGTTGATATTTGTTGGAGAATCTGGGTCATTTGTCCTATGTGATTCTCTCATTCTGGATTGTTATCTAAACATTCTTCTAGCTCAGCTGGTGTGACTCAGTGGTTGAGCATCGACCTATGAACCAGAAGGTCACAGATTCGATTCCTATGAGGGCACATGCTGGGTTGCAGGCTTCATCCACAGTGCAGGGCATGCAGGAGGAAGCCGATGCTCTCTCATCATTAATGTTTCTCTCTCTCTCCCAGTCTCTTTTCTCTTTGAAATTAATAAAAATATATGAAAACAAACAAAAACATTCTAACTCCCCATCCCACGTCATAAATTGGTAATTTGATCTAAGGATTTGATTTGATTTATGTTCAGGTTTTTTTTTTTATGTGTGTGTGTTTTTACTTTGCCAATACACTTTACGAGTGGTATTGTGTACTTTTACCAAGAGGTAACATAATGTCTATTTGTCTTTCTTTTTGGGGTATTAGCAGTCATCGATGATCCTTGCCTAGATCTATTATTTTATTCAGGGATATAAAAATGATGATGTAATTTTATCATCCCTTCATTTACTTGGTTAGCCTGAAGTACATTTTCTTTAGGAAAAAGCAGGGTAAATGAGTTTCTCCCTTTATTTACTAGTTGTCAAGATAATGAATTGGTTCCTTCTCCTCCACCAAAGAATGACCATGAACTGTTTTATCCCCTCACTTAGATTTATATATATTTGGTGTATTTCATCTTATAGTGTTTGTTTTCCTTATTGATGCACAAATTACCCCATCTTTGATCCATGAGGACTTCTTCATGTTAGCATCTGAGTCCTTTTTGATAGAACCCTAGCAGACTCTGTCTAATAGCTTCCTGCTTTCATATCAGACAAGACATTCCAGGCTCATCTTGTACATTCCTGCCTCAGACTTAAAATCAGTTTTCCCCCATTGTGTTCTTATTCCTTTGGTTTAACCATTGTTTTAAAATACTTGGGCCCTTTGAAGGTGATAGAGTATTTTTGCCCATAAATGTAAATATTGTGGCTTACAGAGAATATGAAAAATAGCAGAGATAATTCATTTTGTATAATTGAGAGAAATTCTCAATTGTCTTTGATTTTTTTTTTCTGTTGGAAGTATGAATTAATATATTTGTGAAGAATAATTTACTAATGGAACTTTTATTGATTGGTTGATTTTATTGATTTTAGAGAGGAAGAAGAAGGGAGGGAAGGAGAGAGGGAGAAAAAGAGAGAGGGAGAGAAAGAGACATTGATTTGTTGTTCCACTTATTTATGCATTCATTGTTTGATTCTTGTATGTGACTTGACTAGAGATCGAAGCTGCAGCCATGGTGTATCAGAACAACACTCTCACCTAATGAGTAATTTGGCTAGAGCACTAATGCACTTTTTAAATACAACTTCATTTAATTACAGGGCCAACACCATCTGTGTTTGAAGGTACAGTAAACCCTTGATTTTGTGGGCCTTGATTTAATGGGTTTCAGATTTAATGGACAGAATTTCTGATCCATATGTCATAGGTGAAAATTAACACCCTGTTAATTTTAAAATGTTTTTAACCAGGATTTGCTTATAATTAAATTAATGGTGTTTTTTTTTAATTTTATTAATTCACTATTATTTTTAACAAATTTTAGCAAATAAGTAAGTGTTACATATCTACAATTCTGGGCCACATATTTAAACCCAAAAGTCACCACTTGTAAACAATTTTAGCATGTGATCAATTTGCCTTGCTTGCGGTAATTGGTTCTGTTTCCTCGGAGCCTGACTTTCTGCAACAGTTTTTCAGTTCTTTTTTGTTTTTGATTGATTTCAGAGAGAAGAAGGGAGAGGAGACAAGGATAGAAACATTAGTGATGAGAGAGAATCATTGATTCGTTGCTTCCTGCATTCCTCGCCCCCTATTGGGGATTGATCCTGTAACCCAGTCATGTGCCCTGATAAGAAATCAAACCATAACCTCCTGGTTCATGGGTTGACGCTCAACCACTGAGCCACACTGGCTGGACTTTGCAGCAGCTTTAACTCCTACTAGCTAAGCCACGCCCCAGCCATGTGTATTTGTTTACTCATAGTGATTGGTGAATGCACACGTTTATTAGACCTATTCAGTATAAATTTAAAATTACAGTAACACATAGAAAACTTTTCTGTGAAATTAAACTTTTCATACATACTTAATTTTAATTACATAAACATATCTACATAAATAAAAACATGTAGACTAACTTGTTAATTTTTAAAAAATATTTTTTAATTGATTTTAGAGAGGAAGGGAGAAAGAGAGAGAGAGATAGAAACATCATTGATGAGAGAGAATCATTGATTGGCTGCCTTCTGCAGCCCCCTACTGGGGATTGAGCCTGCAACCCAGGCATGCACCCTGACCAGGAATCAAACCATGACCTAGTTCCTAGGTTGATGCTCAGCCACTGAACCACACCAGTTGGGCAAATTTGTCAAATTTAATGTAATGCATTCGGGAAACCTTTATTATATTACAGGCTTTACACTTTGACAACACCCCCTCACCCAAATTAGTCCTTTATATCAAGGTTTTACTGTATCTTCACATAGAATTCAAAGAGCATCATAATGTATTATTTTTTCAAGTGGTAAAACTTTCAAAAAATAACTTGGTTATAATTATAAATATCTTTTAATCCTAGAATCAAACAGAAGATAGTTTACGGAAAGAACTCATAGCATTACAAGAAGATAAACACAACTATGAGATGACAGCCAAAGAGTCTCTGAGGCGGGTTCTGCAGGAGAAAATTGAAGTGGTTAGAAAACTTTCAGAAGTTGAGGTATTTCAATTTAATAAATATTAAATAGTAATATGATTTTTAAATTTTAGCATAAAATGGCTAATATTTCAGGACATTTTAAACTTGGATAGTATTATTTAGCTAGCAGATATTTCCTGTCCGTCACGTGGGAGGGAGCAGTGTGCTATTCTCATTGTCATGAATTCTCAACATGACCAATAAAGTTATGTGAGTTCTCGTGATTATGGTCCCTAGTTAGTGATTGAGGAAATAAAAGCCTAAGCAGGGCATCTTACTATTTGCACTCTACTTCGTATTCACCTTGCATACAATGGACCAGAATATGTGCCAGGGAATTATCTCCTGTCACCTTACTTTGCTTTTCTTCCAGTTGAGGAAATCAAGTATAAAGCAGAGAATTTACACCAAATGTTTTTACTTTACCCATCCTCCAGAGAGTAAAACTAACTGAATTAACTTTAAAGATTCAAAGGAGAAATTATCTCTAAGGTCCTTCATAAGTCTTTTTAAAAAAAGTGATTCTCATTGCTTTAAAATGATCTTTTTGATAACACAGGTCATTCCTTTGAACCAATGTAAAATTACCACAGAAGTTATGTTTCTGGATTTGATTAAAATTCCCATTGTAAACTAAATAGTATACAAAACTCCATATAGGGATAGTTTCTATAATAGCTCTATCCCATAGTGACTGATTTATTGTCATGTCATTAACTTGACATGTAAAGAAAGAAAGTTCCTAGCTCTTTTTTATAACTTCCTTATTAAATTAATTGCTGCACAACCTGGATGGAATTGGAGAGCATCATGCTGAGTGAAATAAGCCAATCAACGAAAGAGAAACACCACATGACCTCACTCATTTGTGGATAATAAAGAGCATTATAAACTGATGAACCAAAAGATAGATATAGAGACAGTATATCAACAAGTAGACTGTCAAATTACAGCGGGGAGGGGAGGAAGATCTGGGGGAGATAATAGATCAACCGAAGGACTTTTATACATGCATATAAGTACAACCAATGGACACAAAACTCTGGGGAGGGAGGGGATCTGTGGGAGGGAGGGAGGGGGGCAAAAAAAATCAATAAAATATATTTTTTAAAAATCAATAAAAAAAATAAATTAATTGCTGCATATTATTGAACTTGCTTTCAGGAATTGAGAGGCTTAAAATGTTTTCAAGGCTAAATAAATGTCCTACTCAATGGTCTTTTAAAAATGTCCCTGTTTTGTGTGTTTTTTAAATTCCTAGTTGTATTTTCTGTTTTAGCATGCATCTGGAGTAAATTGAAATCCTTGTTATTTACATAAAGTTCAGGGCAGATGTTGATTTAGAACAGCCCACAGAGTTATACTTTTTATAAATGGACTTTAGAATGTGGATTAATCCTAAATCAATTGCCTGTAAACTTGAATTGCAGCGAAGTCTGAGTAATACTGAAGATGAATGTACTCACCTGAAAGAAATGAATGAACGGACTCAGGAAGAATTAAGAGAATTAGCCAATAAGTATAATGGAGCAGTTAATGAGATTAAAGATTTATCTGATAAACTGAAGGTACGTGTTTACTCAACCTAAAAGTATATTAAGTTATTGGCCCTAGCACAGTGGCTAGTTTATAAATTTAGGTATTGCGGAACAGTTGCTGATGTAAAATTTGGTAATGGTTGAAATTTATAGTAAAAATAAGGTACTTATATTCCACTAGAGGCCCAGTACATGAAATTCATGCACTTGGGGGGTGGGGGGTCCTTCAGCCCAGCCTGCGCCCTCTCCAATCTGGGACATTCCTCTCACAATCCAGGGCTGCTGGCTCCTAACCACTCGTCTGCCTGCCAGCCTGATCGTCTCTAACTGTTCCCCTGCTGGCCTGATTGATACCCAACTACTCCCCTGCCAGCCTGATTGCCCCCAACTGCTCTCCCCTGCCCTCCGATAGCCCCCAACTACTCTTCCCTGCTGGCCATCTTGTGGGGCAATCATCTTGTGACGACGTGGAGGTGGCCATCTTGTGATGATGTGAGGGCATCTCAGGAGGGTGTGAGGGCCATCTAGGCTTTTATTAGTATAGATTTAGCCCAAACCCCATTGCCATAGAAAATTGAAAGTCTATAAAAGTTGACATAGTTCTTCTTAATGGAAATAGTCAGTACTTTACAATAGACAGCAAAACCCAAGGTACTAAAACTTTTAAAAAATTTTATCTTTAGGCAGTCCTAAAGGCAGGGCCCTGCTGTTAGTGTTGAACAAGCCCAGAGAGAACCTTGGAGTGATCTGCTTGAACCCTGTAGCTTCCTAGGGGTGCCTTTGACTCTGCTTCTGCTTTGGCTCTCTGTAGCTATAGGACATATAGGATAAGGACAGACCAGATCATAAGTAACGGCAAGTTTGTCCTTTATAATGTTATAACTGAGCTTGTGAAGACCCATCTTCATGTAATTCAAACCATGGATTGAGTGGCTAGAAGAGATAACGTTTGTTAGGAAAGGCGAGAGCATACCTCTTGTTGGCCCTGTTAAAAGGAGGTTGTTTTGAAAAGTGCTTGTAACCATCATTACTGTAGATAAACATAATTTTGTTTAAAATTTTAGAATAAGTTTTATTTTAGAAATTATAAATTAATTGCAACAATAGTAATTTCATGGGAAAACCTTATTATTTCCCTTTTTAAAAGTCTGTTTTTCATTTTGACCACTTTATTTTTGTATATTGAGTCTGCTTGCTACAAGTTTTTTTCTCCTAGGTTATATAGAGGCATGACCCCAATGCAGATCACTTTTGACATCCTATTGCTATTTATAAATATCCTATATAATAAAAGGCTAATATGCAAATTGTCCCCTCGACCAGGAGTTTTACCGGGAGTTCCACCAGGGGACGGGGCCAGCCCACCAACCGCCAGCGGCCCCTCCCCACCTGCCAGCCTCACTCCATTGGCCCCCATGGGGGTGGACCAGCTGGTCCCAACCATGCAGGAACCCGTGAACCAGTCCTCTAGAGTTCTATAATATTGAATATTCTCCTTAGAAGTTTTGTAAATAAAAGCAGTTCTGCTTTAGGTTTCTTAAAACAAGGTCAGGTTTTATTAAATAACTGAATTGTCTATTTCTTTCTCAACAGATAGCAGAGGGGAAACAAGAAGAAATCCAACAGAAAGGACAAGCTGAGAAAAAAGAATTACAACATAAAATAGATGAAATGGAAGAAAAAGAACAAGAGCTCCAGGCAAAAATAGAAGCTTTGCAAGCTGATAATGACTTCACCAATGAAAGGCTAACAGCTTTACAAGGTAAATTAGCTCATCCAGAAATAGATTTAATTTGATTTTTTCTTTTTATCTGTGAAATATATTTTTCTTGGACTTTTATTTACAGTACGGTTAGAACATCTTCAGGAGAAAACTCTTAAAGAATACAGCAGTTTAGGTAGGTATCATCAAATTTCTTAATAAAGCTGAATTTTATCATTAAATTTTTGATGTTTACTATTTCACACTGGGTTCTTACTTTCTTTAAGAGTTATATTTTACATATTAATTATAAAGTTTCTACACTCATGAAATTTCTTTTAAAAATATGCTTGATTGCCACCAGTGGGCACCATTGTTTAATCCTTTGAGATGAATGAAATTTTTGCATCTGAGATATTCCACTTAGAGATATTTAAATGAGAAAAATACAGGACCAGTTGGATTCTTTTTATTTTTATTCTTTCTTTATTTTTTTGAGGTTTATTGGAAGACTATTAAACAATCTTTCCTCTGAGTTGATAGAGGATGGCAAGTTGGACACTTCTTGTAAAAATAAATGTAAAGTGTTAGTAGGAATACAAAATGACATGGTTAGACGAGAGACCAGTTTTAAAGTATTCATTTCTTTGATCAGGCAATGATACACTGTCTTAATCCTAGGGATACAAGTTGATGACTTCTTACCTAAAATAAATGGAAGCACAGGAAAAGGTAGTGTAAAAAAACTTAAATATTTTTCTTTCATGATATCCTTTTACTTAAGCAGGATAGAGAGGTCAGGTTTTTAAGGTTTTAGTTGTTTGGAATGAAAAGCATGCTATTCATAGACCATTCAATTCCTTTGTTTGTAATTCTTAATGCTATAATCTATGGTTGGGTATCCTTTGTTATATGGAAATTCTGATTATTCAAATAATAAGAAAATAATATGGCTTTCCTCCCACTATATTTTTCAAAGAACTATACTATTATTTTCTTTTATCAAATACAGCTTCCTGGGGATAATTTCCCCTTCTCCCTTTAAAAAAAAAAAAAAAATATGTATATATATATATATATATATATATATATATATATATATATATATATATACTTTATTGATTTCAGAGAGCAAGAGAGAGGGAGAGAGAGATAGAAACACCAGCGATGAGAGAATCATCTATCAGCTGCCTCCTGCATGCCCCTTACTGGGGATTGAGCCTGAAACCTGGTTATGTGCCCTGACCAGGAATCTAACCCTGACCTCCTGGTTCTTAGGATGATGCTCAACTACTGAGCCTCGCAGGCTGGGGCAGTTCCCATTTTTAATATTTGTGCCTCAGCCAAGAGTTTACTTAACAGCCTATTGAGCCCTTGAACATGTTGTAGAAATTGCTTTTGTTTGATTCATTTATTTCATAGATCAGAGAAATCAGGGCCAGTCATTTCTGCCATCTGAAAAATCCTTTATTAGTTCTTGATACTCTGATTCTTCTTTCTGGATAGTTTGGGTAATCTCTTGCCAAAAATCTGTAGTCACTATTGGTTTTCCCAGGCTTCTAAATTCCTTCATTCATCAATATACCAATATACTCCTCCCTTCTGCATCTATCTAACTTTGAGTACCAAATAAGTGCCAGATTCTGCATTAGATGTTTGGAATACAGAATGAATAAAACTGTTTTCTGTGTTTGCAAATCCATGTGCTTCTCAGCTCAGTGTTTGTATAGATATTAGAGGAAGCTATCAAGGTTAATACCCAGAACTTCTTAAATATTATTTTCTTGTATGAGGGGATATCTTTCTAATTCTGGGATAGCAACCAAACTCTGATAAAGTTAGAAGGCACCTTTTTTTGTTTATTTTGTTTTTATTTGTTTTTTTAATTAAGTATTGGCAAAATAGGCTCAGGTAATTATGTTTCTGTAAACTGCAAGGTCAAGACCTAATATTGAATATGTAATGAATTTTGAAACAATTTTTAAAAAGTTTCACTAATTATTGTTATTTAACTGTTCTATATATGTTTTATAAAATATATTGACATTTTAAAATTCCAATTTGATTGAGTTCCAATTTGAGAATTTTTAAAGGTATAGTTTTATTCATTGTACTTTTTTTCTGTCTCTTAAGTATATTAAGCAAACAAATGTAAAATGACTTAAGTATCATCGTCTAAAAGCTTGTCATCCTTAAATGATTTTGTTTCCTGTTATTGCTTGCCTTTTTATTATCTTTCTGGCATGTGCATTTTTTTCAAATATATCACCCTTTTGATTTAGCATGCATTTATTTAATATATCAGTGTTAACTCAAGCTAAGAACATTCTGTTTCTTTAGTTAAGAGATTCCTTGAATATATTCTGAACCATCTTTATACTATTTAGAGTTGTCAAATTACTGCTTAAATTTTTTTTTGCCAGTTCCAATTGATGTATATGAGAATACTTGTAGATAACTCCTTGATTTAAGACTGAATAAGATATTTGGGATACTTTAAGGAATTCCTTGCTATTGCTATTTTTCCCTGTTCGTGTGTTTGTTTTTTGAATGGTGATAAATTGAGTAGTGTGAGAGTAACTAATGGAATATCTTTAAAGAAACAGAGTAGTAACTATCTGGATTTGCACAAAAACTTCATTACATCAGATTCAGTTACAGGGTGGATTTTGGAATAAGATGAATCTATTCTGAATTATTTGTGATAAAATAACAAGTCAGTGTTACCAAAGTCCATAGCCATAATGGGCGATCAGACATGATTTTAACTAAAATTACTCTATAAATAATAGAAAAACAGCTAAATATAGAAGAGAATATTTCAAAAATTAGAGGTTAAGATTAAAACTTCTCCTGTAAACTCCATTTTTGAAATTAAATCTATATAACATAGTTGCTATAAGTACAGATTTGTACTATAAATTTTAAATATATTTTTCTAATAAGCATAATTTGAATATATTTTAGAGGGTTTAGAAAAGCACTGTCTAATACATTTTTTTCTTATAGCTATTTTCACAGACCTTAATAACTTCAATGTCTTTAAGGCTTGTAACAGGGCTTTACTATTGCCAGCTTTCTCTAAATTTTTGCAGAAACACGAAAGCCACATACATAATTTATAAAATTTTTTGGTCACTACATTGAAAATATAAAAAGAAACAGATAAAATTTCATAACATATTTTAATAATAGAGTTAAATAACTCACTGTATCCAAAATGTTGCTTTAATATGTAGTTAATATTAAAAGATTATAAATGAAGTATTTCACATTCTTTTTTTCTTCTTCAATAAATTTTTTAAATCAGTCTATATTTATTTTACATTTACAGCACATCTCACTTTTTAAGGGCTCAGTAGCCACAAGTAACTAATGGCTACTATATTGGACAACACAGGTATAACAAATAAAAATCCATAGGAAATTCATATGTATAAATAAAATGCATTTTAAGTATCGTGGGTCTCTATTATGTTTCTGTATCTGTCCTTTTCTTTATATCTCTACAACCCTATTTAGTGTCATAGACACACCACACTCCTTTTGGATTATCACTAACATCTTTTAAAGTTTTGGCAAAGTAAGTTCCCAAGGGCCAGAATTCAAATAATAGGGTATTAAAGGTGTCATGATACATTCCTTTACATATATTATCTGAAAGACACTTCGCTAGTGTATCTGAGGAGATGGCTTTGTGGAAGTCATATGTATATTTACCTTTTCATATTAACCTTGTATTTCTAAACGGGCGTAGTAAACATTTTCATGTAGAATCCTGATATTAAAATCCGAGTAGATAAAAGGGTGATTTTTGGATTGATGACTAATGGTGGGATGTCCTGCATTAATAAATGTCATCTAACGTCCTGTGATGTTAGTATGAAATTTGGTTTCAAATAAGTTTTAAGAAGTCCTTTAGTTAGGGTTAAAATTTGGTTTCTAATGAGTTTTCATATTTAGCAGTGATGTTTGTATAATTTAAGTTTAAAAAAATGTTATAGCTCAGATAAGATTTATGTAAAACATCTTTTTTTTTTTTTATCTTGGTAATTACTATTGAATTGAGGGATCCTGTTTTGTATTTTTTGGCTCCAATTGGTGGATACTATGTATTAAACATTTTTTAAATTTCAAATTTCAATTGCAGTTAGCATTTTTCTTTTTTGGTACTATTTGTATCTTTGTTCTAGATATGTAAGGCATTAGTCTCTAAAACATTTTCAGTCTTTCTTTCTATGTTTTTGTCTTGTACTGATGGTGATTATAGACTGGAGGCTCTGCACACATGTATCTAGATAAAGGACAAGGGTAGATTTGAGTATGAGACTGAAGAAGGCTGTCAGTAAGGAAGTCAAGGGGGCTGATGAGTGATCAGGGGAGGAGTTTCCTGTCTCTCAAGCAAAGTTGAGTTGAAGGGTGAGGAAGAAGGAGGAGAAGAGAAAAAAGGAATTTTACAGAATGGTACTAACTCATTTTCCTCTTAGACCGGTCTAGTGCTTTCACACCTTCCAGATAATCATCATGTTGGAGTATATTTTTAACACTTGAACTCCTCAAAGATTCAAATATGTAATTGAAAGATGTTATCCAGATCTAGAAAGTAACTATTTGAATCAAAGTAAAGATTATTGTATTAAAAGAACTAAAACTTTTACTAAACTATTGTGTTAGATTTTGATTCTCTGCACTAATTAGAAACCAAAAAACAGCCGAAACCGGTTTGACTCAGTGGATAGAGCGTCGACTTGCGGACTGAAAGGTCCCAGGTTCAATTCCGGTCAGAGGCATGTACCTTGATTGTGGGTACATCCCCAGTGGGGGGTGTGCAAGAGGCAGCTGATAGATGATTCTCTCTCATCGATGTTTCTAACTTTCTATCCCTCTCTCTTCCTCTCTGTAAAAAAATCAATAAAATATATATATTTTTAAAAAGAAACAAAGAAAAAAAGAAACCAAAAAACAAATTCTATTTGACCTAAGGAAAACCATTTACCAATCTCCTATTTTCAAATGTGTAGGCATTTATTTTAATCATTTGAACAGAAATAATATAGTGCTTTGATAGTATATGAAGTATAGATTAAAAGGCTCAAAAGGTAAGATTGGCCCTGGTCTGGTGGCTCACATGGTTGGAGTGTTGTCCCAGACCAAAAAAGTTGTGGTTCAGTTCCCAGTCAGGGCATATTACTACATTTTGGGTTAAATCCCCAGTTGGGAGGCGCCTGATGGGTGTTTTTCTCCCTCTCCCTCACCCTGCTCTCCCCTCCCCCGTTACGTACTCCCTCCCTCTCTCTTTGTCTCTAAAAATCAATGAAAGACATATCCTCGCGTGAGGATTAAAAAGAAAATTATGTTTTAAAAAAGGAAGACTGAAATGAAAGTTTAAAAATTAAATATTACATTATTTTCTTTAAAATTTTAAAGAATTCTTTATGGTATTCTTAAAATACCTTTCCTCTTAACTAAGACGAATAATTTCAAAAAGGGTGTTAGAAAGTCATTTGAAAATGTATTCAGTAAGAATAAATGTAAAATTTTGAAATTAAGATTATGTATTAGGCTCTCATGGAGAAAAGTATGTTTTTAAAATGTTACAAAGTCTTTAAAGCAATATTTTTCTATGTTTTTTTTTTTTTTTTTAATAGAAGTTACACCTTTAAAAGCTAACCATTCGGGGTATAAAATAATGATTATATAACTACAATTTTTAGTCATTTCACTTTAACTCCAAAAATATATCTGCTGTTGATATTAAACTTTTATTAATGGTATTCAGAATTACCCATGTTGAAACATTTCAGTTTTTCTACCTTTGCTGTTGGTTTTCAAAAACAGCAATAAACTCTATCCTTAAAGGTGTTTCTTTTTTTATTAGAGCGCTTGCTTTCAGAGAGTGGCGGGGACTGCACTTTTATTCATCAGTTCATAGAATGCCAGCGTGAGTACGGAGTGTTTTTCACATCATTTTAATGAAGTAAGGGGCTCAAATTGAAAAATGAGAGGGAATGAAGATCTCAACATGTTTGTTATTGTAGTGGTGCACAAAGGACCATCTTTAGACAGCAGTGAACCCCTTCATACTGTTTATGTTTCTCTCTTTTGAGAAAAATGTTTCTGTATGAACATTTCGTATGGCCCACAAAAACAAAGATAAAGTTTCAAACTTGTTAATTAAAAATAATTATTGAGTGGGGAAGAAAATAGAAAGTCTACACCTAAACTTAAGAGATAGTAATATTAACCAGTTTTACTACGGCTTAAGTCACAGATTTGGATTTTGAGGTTCTTAAATAAATTTCTTAAATGGTAGATTAAAAACAATGATTTACTTCAGGCACTCGGGTATGAAAATGACCTTCGGGTAGCAGGAGCTTTCTAGGGAAGGAGTAGCAGCAGATTGTCCTAGAGTCTGACATGAACTACCTCCCCTCGGGCTACCTTTAATATATTTTTTAAACGATAGGTTGATTTTTGAGGTGATTTATACCTCTGCTGAATTCTGAACAAAAGTATTGTGAATTCTAGCTTACTTGAAAATTACATGGCTACTTAAATTTGTAACAGTCACAGCTTGAGGTAGTATCTTCATCTCGTTAGTGACAAAGGTCACTGCATAGTAAATTCATTGATGACTTCTATACTTTTTCCTATCAGACACACATTTTGTCAGGCATTTCTTCTTCCTCTTTACTCTTACTTTTGAAATGAGTGATTTTTTCAAGTTTCTGTGCTCATGAATTCACTTTGTGGGTGTGCACGCATGTGTGGTAAGCTCCTCTCCCACCCCATCTCAGAGTACTTGAGGTTGTAACGGTTACTCCTGGTAATTGTAGCAGACATTAACTCAATAGGTCAAATGTTATACTCTTTAGAGATGTTTTAAGGGATTTCATTTAATCGTTTTAGAAGAGCTTCTGTTTTTGTCCATTTAGAGACTATAATATTGAGTATAAGTTTAATATTACTTTGAGGCAAATGATTAAATAAATATGACATATTTCTTTCTCCTTTAAAGTTTTATAAAGCAAAAATAAGTGTATATTTTTATCTTTTGATAACTAAATCTCACTTTTACAGGAAATTGGCACAGGGATTTGGGACAAAATAATTGGTACCCACTGAAACCAACTTAGAGTAGAATATATTATATGAACTATAAACCTTTAGGAGAAGGATTTTATACTTAGTTTTATTACATGTGACCATTTTTTTATGTTATTTTTATTTTGACTTTTGGGATTTATATTTGAATGCAAAGATATAAGAACAGAGGACTATCAAAAAAATGTAATACTAAGTTACAATTTGCAAAAATGATTTGAGATATTATAAAATATGTAAAATAATTACCTGTAGTTATAATGCAGAACAAAGTTTGTATTAAAAAAAAGAAAAAAACAACTTGGGAAACTTTTATTGGTTTACAGAGAGAAAATGGACCAAATAAACATTCAGAGGCAGAGCAGAAGTTGAGTAAATTACAGCAATCCCCTCAATGGGAATATCAGTCAATAATATGTTTACGGGGACTATGTAACGGCATGGTAAAATGCTAAATGTGGTACACGTGGCTTGGGGTTAGTGGTGGATAAGAATTAAAGTCCTGTTCTTGTGGACAAAGAATGAACCAAAGAACAGGAACAAAGTATTTCTACACATTTGAATCCACTAGGTCTCTAAGTGCAAATAGTGAAAGTTTGGACTGTAAGTTCAGGTAGCTAGGGATATAGCCCATTATATGAATCTGTTTGGTTCCTGAGTTTCAGGAGCAAGAGTTTGGTTAATAAGAATACCAGTTTTATATTAAAACTAGGGGCTCTTTAAAAGAACTGTGGGCCACAAGGCTGCAGTGAGCACAGGGGCAGGTCATTGTTCCCCCTCCTGGCCCCTCCTGCCAAGGCTCCCGGTCCCTTTTCTGCCTTGTCTGCTACCAGCCCCGCTCCCACAGCCGCTGCTCACAGGCGCTGAGGGCATGGAGGATTGGGACTGGCACCAGCAGTGGGTGCAAGCGGGGCTGGTTCCATCAGCGGGTGTGAGCGACGGCTGCTGCCCTAATCACCTCTCAGAAGCAGGGAGAGGTGGAGAAGCTCTCAGAGGCGATTAGGGCCAGCAGCAGCCACTTGCACTGATGACTGTGCCAAGCAATCAGGACCGGTGCCAGGTGCCAGCAGCGGGTGTGAGTAGGCTGATGCTGGCAATGAGTAAAGCCGTGGCTCTGGCACCAGCAGCAGGTGCAAGCATCACGCACCCGCTGATAGCGCTGAGCAATCAGGGCCGGTGCCGGGCACCGGCAACGGGTGCAAGTGGCAGATCTGGCACTGGCAGCAGGCAGCAGATGCAAGCACCCAGTGGGACTGTGGCGCATGAGTGCAAAGTATTTTCAGTAACCACCAGAGGCTCACTCAGATGACAGCAACCTGCGCCCCGCCTTGGTCTGGTGCCCCCATTCACCTGCTCCACCATCCCGCTGCAGCTAATGCCTGCCATGTTCCGCACTCTGCTGCCTGCTGCTGAGTCTTACCAGGTTCCGCACGTGCCCCCTGGTGGTTAGCGCTTGTCATAGCAACTGGTTGTTTGGATGTTCCGCCATTCAGTCTATTTGCTTATTAGGGTTTTATATATAAATATATAGATTTTCCAAATATGTTTTATTCCTTAAATAGTCAGACTTGACGTAGTAAGGGTTATCTCTAGTTTGATTTGTTGTCCTGGGACATTTTCATTATTTTGTGACAAGCTGCTATTATAAAAATTGTTGTATATAATAAGTTATGGCAAACAATGCAATTTCGGCAAAAATCTTCCTCAAGTGAACTTCTGAAATAATTTTGGATTATTTTTGACAAGCACATACAAACTTTTTTACTATTATTTTTATTGATAGGCATCTTGAGCTGATTTATGATCTTGAACATGAAATCTGTATTTCATGTTCTTGTTTCCAGTCTTTTAAAAAGCAAATGTTAAATACCTAGCTTTCATTATTTATTGTGTTTCTCTACTAAATTCACCTGCGTTTTAAAAATAAAAAAGCAATAGTTGGCTTCTGTAGGATTCTGCAAGTCTATTGTTAATTTATTGGGAGATTTTTTTCTGTTTATGTGTATGAATCCATAAGAAACTGTGGTTAGTGGCTCTCTCCATTATAAAGTAATTTTGAGAAAATTGAGTTGAAGCACATTTTTATTTGTTTTCTTTTATGGTAAAACACACTGTCTTTCTTTTTATTCTTTTTAGGAGAAAAGCTTTTAATCCCAGGCAAAGAGATTAGATTTAAGCAGACTTTAATTCCAGAACTGTGAAGTAAATTTTCTGTATAAAAATACACTATATGAAAGCTACAATTAACCAGTAACTTTATTAAAATTTGCTTAAAAGGTCTAGCAATATTTCCTTTAGAGTTTCAGACATGAGATTTAAAGAGAACTTCATATTCCATATTCCCTGCAAATTTTAGTTACTCAAGGTTTACCATGAAACTTAACGTGTTGAGACTTTTGTGTTCTGCTAACGATGCTTTCTCAGTTAAATTGTGCATCTCTAAATCTGTTTTATAAGTATTTTTGAACTCTGTCACTTGATTAACTTGTATTCTGAGTGAAAAGATAAAGGGTAAAAGGGGGAGGATTTGAGGACACATAGAGACCTTCTATCACTTAGCCTTCTTTGGACCCTGACTCTCCCTTCGATTGCTCTTGATTGCTCTTGCTACTGTTTGTCCAGGAGAGGGCAGAGGCATCAATGCTGGATACCTGAGGAACTTTGCTCTGAGAGCTCCTTTGTAGATGTAAATTATGCCCTCCTCTAAGGGCCTCTCCCTTTTGATGATGGTCAAAAAGTACCCTGAAATAAACCTCATGTCTTTGAATTCTTTGTTTTTTCAAATTTATACTCATCAGTTCTACTGTTTGGTAGGTTCCCTACAGGAATGCCTGCACATATATATAGGGTACGAATTTAAGAATTTTCATAGCCAATACTTCAAAAGTACCCAAAAGACCATCAGTAGTCAAATGGATAAATACAATGAGATATATTGGATAAAAGAAGCCTGATACAACAGAATATATACTGTAGTATTTCATTTACATAAAAGTCAAAACCACTAAAATTCTATTACTTACTCATGCATATATAGGTATTGTGGCTATAAAGAAATGTAAGAAATAAAATACCGTAGAACTCAGCATTGGAAAGGGGAATGTGTAAGGCTTTGGGGGAAGGGATTAGGTTCTGTTTCTTGATTTGGGATGTAGTCATACAAACATTTACTTTAAAAAGGTTTATTAACATTTACTTTTGTGTTTTATGCCTTTTTTTGCATGTTGTTTTCACAATATGGTTTTAAAATAGGAGAAAATGAATAATTATGTCTCTAGAGTATCCCTCAAAAAATAGGGAGTTTTCATAAGAAAGAAAATCCTCTATTTTCTCTTCCAGCTGTGTCAAGGTAAATAGCTCTTTTAAGACCTCCAGTGTCCATACTTGGAAGTTTTAGTCTATATCCCTGAGAGGTCTGTTATTTTTAATCCTCCTAAAAATAACAGAATAAAAATAGCAGAATTAAAAATAAATAAATTTTTAATCCACTCCAAGTTTGTGAACCAGTGATTAAACACTTTTTAAAAAATAATATATTTTTCTTCCTCAATCACAGGCTACTAACAATTCACCAGATTTGATAATAAATATAACTTTAAATAATGTCAATAGTGATTAGTAACAGCAGGTATTTATTATTTAGCACTTATAAACTAGTTCTATTCAAAACTTTTTATATGGGAGAGAATTTAAGATGGCTGCATAGGTAACACCTAACTGCAGCCTCACACAACAATTTCAATAAAATACAACTAAAATACAAAATGGACATTACCCAGAACTATAGGAAAGTCAACTGACTGGAAATTCTACAACGAGAAGGAAAGAGAAAACCAG